CTGCACTTGCACTTCTTCATCTTTTTCATCATGTTTCTACCTCAATGGATCAGCTGCCCGACGACTCCATGACGGACGTTCCGGTCCAGATTCGGCTTCAGAACGCATTTCGGCGCGCGCTGCGCCCCAGTGCGCTCCCTGCAGCGCTGCCTCCACGCACTCGCGCACCCAGAGGTCAGCCTTCGCTCGCCCACAGCCCGTACCTCGGCGATGTCTCCGTCATCACATGGAACACCCAGGCCCTCTTCGCCGCGGACCCCGGCCGTCATCGCCGGAAGGCGACCTACGTGAGGAAGTTGATGGCCACCCACGATATCGGCCTCTGGACCGAGACGCACGGGTCCAATGGAGGCAATGAGGTGTGGAGAAATCCCGATGCTTGCACATCTTGGTGGTCGCCAGGCCCCACGCCCGCCAGGGCAGGAGTGGGGGTGACGATCAAGAACTCCTTCCTCAAGCAGTTTGCGGCGAACCCTCACTGGCAGATCATTCTCCCGGGTCGTGCTGCAGTACTACATCTGCGAGGCCCCAGTGGCAATCTGGACGTTGTTGTCGTATACTTCCACACTGGTGCTGCCGCCTCCCCAGAAGACATCGAGGCTGCAGGGCTGTCTCACCTGGGCCGCCCCCCATCTTTCCCCGAACTCCGAGACGCTCTCCGACGGCGGCTTTCGCGGCACATCGCTTCCAGGGACCAGGTTCTCACGATCCTCGGAGGAGACTTCAACTATGTTGCGGACGTTTGCGACAGACGCTGCACCTCCACCGCTGCCGTCACGGGTGGGCGGGATCGCGGGGAAGAGGCAAGTTGGCACCGACATTTGGGACTTCCTCATGGCCTCCACGAGCTCCACCAGCCCGACATGACGTATGCTTCGCCTTCGTCCCGATCGCGCCTGGACCGCATTTACTGTAATCAGGCCGTGGTGGAAGGCTTTGATCGGAAGCTAACTTGCGCTGCATTGGAGTGGCAGTCAGAGCTATCTCGACATAGAGCCGTCAGCTTTCGGCGTTCACTGCCGCAGCGGGAACCCGACTCATGCGCCCCGATATCGGACCTCACATTGGATCACCCCGAATGGCCGCGCAGAGTGGCGCTCGCGTGGCAGGAGATGCTGGACAGCGAACCTTCCGCCTCGCCTCCACGGCGGCTCGTGCTACTCAAGCGGGCCATGCGCGAGGCCGCCAAGAACTTCGGCTTCGAGGCTTCGGGTCCGCCGGGCCCGCTTGCGCACGAGGATCGCCTCGGGGTCGCCATGAAATTCCCCCGCGCCTCAGAAAAGGGCTCGGCAGGCGGCGTCAGCCAATGCATCCAGCGGTATCCCATCTTGAAGGATCTCGTGGACAACCCTTACGACTTCCACACGAGCCCTGGCCGTCGCCTCCGGCTGGTCCGAGTTCACGCTGCCGACCTTGCTCGCGATCACGCCATCGACGAGCTGGGCAGGCTCCACGCCGACTTGAAGGACCTCTCCGATGCGCAGGCGGCGCGGCGGCGACATCAGAACCATCGTCTTCTTACACGCTTGTCTCCTGGCCGCGGCTGCTCCCACTACGCGCTCAGTGACAGCGCTGGCCACGTGAGCACATCACCAGAGCACATCGCAGGAGTTCTGCGCGACCATTGGTCTGGGGTCTTCCGCAGACGGGAAACGGACACAACCTTGCGCCGCACCTGGCTTGCAGACGAGGCCTCGCACGCCTCGCTGGCAGACCGCCAGTGCGTGCCCGGCGTCGCCGTGCCCTTCGAGATCTTCGAGCGGGCGGTCCAGCACACGAGCAACAGCTCTCCTGGACCAGATGGGATCCCGTTCCGCGCATGGCGTGCTTTAGGCGGCTTCGCGACGAGAGCTCTGTACGAGGCCTTCCTGGCCATCGCCAGCCCCAGTGGCGCGGCGCTGATGGACTCGGACTGGGACTCGTTCAATGAGAGCTCCATGGTCTTCCTCCCCAAGAAGCCATCAGGCATTACTGGAGACGGCATCGAGTTCTATGTCCCCTCGAACATGCGGCCCTTGAACATCACGAATACAGACAACAGAATTATATGCAGCGCGGTCCGCATGTACATTGAGCCCACCGTTGCCCCCGGGGTCTCCGATTGCCAGCGGGGGTTCCTGCATGGGCGCTCGATGCTTGCAAACCTCATGGACGTCGAAGAGTTCATGCTCCACCACTCGCTTAAGTACGACTCGTCCGCCATGGTCTTCTTCGATTTCGAGGCGGCCTTCCCGAGCGTCAGCCAGGAGTTCCTTCTTGATGTCATCGCGGCCCGGGGTTGGCCGCCATGGTGCGTGCATTTCATCCAAGCGCTGTATCGGAACAACAGGTGCCGCATCGCGCACGGCGGGTCCACTTTCGACGGCTTCGAGCTCACCGCGGGGGTCCGCCAGGGCTGCCCCCTCTCCCCGCTCCTCTTCGCCGTGCTTTCGGATGTTCTTTTGCGGAGGCTCCCGCGCCTCATCCCAGACGCCGTTCCTCGCGCCTACGCCGACGACCTGGCCGTCGGCCTGGTTCGCGGGACGGGGGGCGCTTCCATTCTTGAGCACACTTTCGACGAGTACGAGCGACTGTCGGGGCTGCGACTACACCACGGAAAAACGGTTTGGGTTCCATTGGCACTGGAATCAACCGACCGCGTGAGAGAGCGTCTCCAAGTGGCCGCGCCCACGTGGAGCGACTTCACCATCCGCCGGTACGCAACTTACTTGGGCTTCGTCGTCGGTCCGGAACGCGGTGAACATTCGTGGACAAAGGCTTTGGACAAGTTCATTTCCCGGGCCAAGGTGTGGCGGGGCATCGGCTGCGGAATGATGCTGACCCTCTTGGCTTACCGCACCTACATCTTCCCCGTGCTCTCCTTCCTCCTGCAGCTGGACCAGTTGCCGTCCAATTGGGACGTTGTGGAGCAGCAGGCATGCGTCCTCCTCTTCCCCGGCCCCCGCTGCTGGACTACCCCAGCGGCGCTCCGGAGCTTGCGGTCCTTAGGGTTTCACGCGGAATTGGTCGACGCAGCATCCGTGGCGATCGCGGCCAAGTGCCGGGTATATCGATGGGAGAACACAGCTCATGGAGGACTTCAGGTACGTCGTCGTTCTCGTTTTTTGGACGCACTCCGACTGGATTCTGATCATTTGGATCGTTTGGTTGCCTGGAGCGGCTGGTACGGCCAGAATTTCTTCACGAACCTCGCAAACGCGCGCGGCCATCTGGAACACAAGGAAGCAGCAGCCAGAGTGTCGGTCGAGGCATTGGTTCAGGGCGACGCGCCGGAACCAGCGCCGAGGTCTGAATGGCAGAAGCGGTGTCGGATTATATTGGCGGACCCGCGCCCGCAGGGCGCCGTCCGCCACCTCGACCGCTGCCTTTCTCGTCTCCAACTCCCGGTGCTCCGTGGGCGCCGCTTGGAGCGCGCGACGCTCGCGCTCCGCGGCCTGGCGCCGCTGGTGCCCCCGCGGGTGTGGGCATCGGTCTACCGCGTCATGTGCAACGGCTGGACTACAGGGCGCCGCATGCAGAGGCCAGCGCCTTGCGCGTTTGCATGCGGACACGGGGAGGACAGCGTCGAGCACTACATCCACTGCTCCAGGGTCGCGGAGTTCGGGCGCAGGCAGCTGGCGCTGACTGCCCCTCCACCCGGCGAGCGCTGGTCTCACTTTCTGCTCCTCTCCCCCCGTTTTTCCGAAGACACGGCGAGCGCTATCGCTCGCCGTGCCCTGGCGGTGTATTGCGTTTACGCGGCATCCACAGCGGCGCGCCACGGGGCCACCTCCAACGCGTGGGAGGCCATGTGGCAGTACGCTAGGGAAGCTTGTGCTGCGCATCCTCGCCTCGCATCGCTCGTGGCCGCAGTGTGGCAAAGCTGAGTTAGTTCCCCCCTCCTCGCCTCCGCTCCTCGTCGTTGTCGTCCGTGGTCGCTGCCCATCACATTTCTTCCCGCGTGTAATGTACTGACTCGCCAATGTGCGCGACACCTTGGGAGCACGCCTTCTTCTGGTCAGCGGGGCGCCCAGACTCACAGGAGTCGGCTGGCGATGACCCTCAGGGCTTTGCTCAGTGCTCTCCTTCCTCCTCCCCCTCCTCCTCGTGCCTTCGAAAAACCCGGTCTTAAGTAACATTTTCGCCCTGGCCCCCGGGCAATAATTGTCTCGGGTGCTCTTTCGCTGTCCCTGCCACGTGCCTGATAGCGTCTCCGTATTCTTTGGTGGTCGGCTGCCCACGCAGCCCGGCTTCCCTCCATGGCCGGGGGCAGCGGCCATGCGAAGTTGTCGAGGCATCCAGCCGCCGTGGTCGACGTGAGGAAGAAAAAAAAAAAAAAAAAAAAAAAGAGATCGATACTGACATCTGTTGTGAGATCTGTTGTGAGATCGATAGTGAGATCTGTTGTGAGATCGATGGTGAGGTATGTTGTGAGATCGATAGTGCGATCTGTTGTGAGATCGATGGTGGGATCGCTCGTGAGATCTATAGTGGGATCGGCAGTGAGATCGATACTCAGATCGATTGTGAGGTATATTATCAGATCGATAGTGCGACCGACAGTTATATCGATGGTGAGATCGATTCTGAGATTGATAGTGAGACCGATAGCGAGAACTGTTGTGAGATCGATAGTGAGTCCAGATGCGAGATCGTTAGTGAGTTCGATTGTCAGATCGATGGTGAGATCGATTGGGAGAATGATATTGAGATATGTTTGAGATCGATCGTTAGATCGCTTGTTAGACCGATAGTGAGTTGGATTGTCAAACCGATAGCGAGATCGATATTTAGATCGATAGGTTCGATCTGTTGCGGGATCGATTTTGATGTTGATTGTGAGATCTGTTTTGATATCGATAGTGAGATCTGTTGTGAGATCGATATTGAGGTCTGTTGTGCGATCGAAAGTTTGATCGATGCGAGCTCGATCGAATGAGACGATGGGCTCTCCTCCTCCCCCCGAACCTCCACGTCACCCGAAGCTCGGTCGTCCGGGCATGCCTGCAGTGTTTGCCGAGGCGAGCGGGTGGTGGTGACGGAGTTCAGCCTCGCCCTGCCGAAGTGGCGGACGAAGACGACAACCTACCTGGAGTATGCGGGGTGGCTGTCGCCCCTGCCGCGGCCCTCGGGGGAGATCGTGCGGCTTCCTGCCACCTCTCGTCCCTCTCCGCCCTGCCCTCCCTGCCCTCCTCGCCTTCCTCGCTCCTCGCTCCTCCCTCCAATCCCCTGGGGGCCCTCTTGCTGGACCGTCTCGGGGCCCCCTCGGGGGCTTCTGGGGCCGTCTTGGAAGGATCTCGGGTGCCTCGTGAACTCTCTTTTGTGCACCGTTGGGGCGGAACAGGCGGAGATGCTTGAGATGCACGTTCTCCTCGGGGGTGGGAACGTTTCTTGCTTCTTGGGGTCCAGTTCGGGGTCCTCTTGGAGCCCTCTTAGGGTGTCTTGCAGGCATCGCGGGCCCTCTTCGGGCCATCTGGGGTGTTCCCCGGGTGTTGGAGTTCAGCTGGAGTTAGCGTAGATGGCATTTTAGGTATCTTGGAGGCCACGGAGTGTAGATGTGGAGGTTCCTGATGCCCCAGGGATGCGTCGGTGAGCTCGTCCCCCCACGCGGGAGCGCCCCCCCCCGTTGAATTCGATCCCCCTCCTCCTTGCCCTTGTTGCCCTCCTCGCTCCTCGCTCCTCCCTCCTGCTCCCTCCTGCTCCCACGTGCTCTCCTACCTTCTCTCTCCTGCTTCCTCCTCCTCCCGCATTCCTCCACCTTTCCTCCTTCCTGGTCATTCCTCTCCCCTTCCCTTTCCTCCTCCCTCGTCGACCCTGCTGACATCGTCCCTTTCGATGTCTGAATGTTCGATGTATCTCTGTTCGTCCATGTCAGGTCCTCTTCAGATGGTGGGGATGGGGCGGGAAGGCAGGGCAAGAACGTTGAGCTAGCTACGGGTCACAGGCCACGTGCTTATACCTGCATAGTGCTGCCGCAAGAAACGGTAGCCTGCACGTGCAAACAAATCGTGGAATAGGGCACTCCGTGGTTTCGGACGGTGCCTGGAAATCCTTGGGTCCTCCCTCAGATTTCGCCTCGCGTGGTCCTCGTAACTTTAAGTCGGGCCTGTCCCTCTACAGGGGGGAAATTCAAAAATAGTCAAAACATGCTCTGGGGACTATTTTTTGAGTATTTTTGGGCATCTTTTGAGTATTTGTTCGAGTATTTTTTATTTTTCGTCCAAAATCCCCCTGTAGGGTGACAGGCCCGACCTAATCGTAACTCCAGGCGAAGTGAGGGCCAATTGTGGACTCTTCGTTTCTTATCTGAGGCCTCTTGAGGCGAGGCTTCCACTGCAGCAGCCTGCGGAGCGTGACCGCAGCTACAGTCAGCCCGCATCGTAAGGGTGGGCAACCTTGCCGAGGGCACCCTTGCATCCTTGCCTCCTCGGCCCATCCTTGGCGACTTTCGTGGGCCGCGCCCCGCTCGAGAAGCTTCGAAACTTCCTTCCAATGCCCCTGCATCCTTCCCGCACATCCGACGTCTCGTTTTTTCCGAGACACGGGCCACCGACCTCCCGACCGCTTCCCCGAGACCGGTTTCTCGCCCCGAGCCGTTTTTTGACGGCCCCGAGGCCCGGCGAGGGCCCCGAGAGGCCAACAGCTGCGAACAGCCTCCGCCTCGATTTTGTTGGAGGCGCCCGACGTCTGGGTCATCGTGCATCCTGATGATACAGGTTGACGGTACAGTGCAGGCGTGCGGATGAGGGCGGGCGGCAGGGCGGGGCCCGCCGGGCCACAAGCGGGGGGCGCCTCCGGGCACCGCCCGCCTCCCGCAGAGAGGCGCCCTCCTTCGGCGGGGCCCGCGGCCCAGGCGCTGTCGGAGGCGGAGAGGTCCCTGCTCCTGCGCTGCTTCGCGCAGAGGCTGGGCCCCGCTCTGCAGAGGAGGAGGTGGAGGAGGGGGAGGAGGAGGAGGGGGAGGAGGAGGAGGAGGGGGAGGAGGAGGAGGACCAGTGTAAACCCAAGAGTCAGCAACGATGTTGGAATCAATCCTCCCTCCAAGCTCCCTCCTCATAGGCCTCTACAACGGTTCATTTCCATTGAGGGAATTGCCTCGTTGGAAGACAACCGTGTGAAGACCCTGAGGCATGCCAAAACATTGTTCTCGGGATTCCAACGCCACGGAAAGGCCTGACTGTTGCGTCTTGGCGATCCCGAATCGTGCCAGAACGCCGTTCTTGGGACTTCAGCACCGCGAATCAACGAAACTGTTGCGCCCGCATACTTCCTGAATCCTTCCAAAACGCCATTTCTGGTACGTTGATCATGGGATTCCGTGAGCCCCCTGCAAATTTTATAAACAACTGTGCGCGGCGCTAAGGCGAGATCCTAATTTTGAAAAGGATCCGCCCTCAATTAAAACGAATGTGAACTGCGCTAAGGCGAGAGCCTCATGTTGAAACAGACCCACCCTCAATCCGTGAAGCTCTTCCTTTTTTTTAAAAGGCGAATGTGCGCGGCGAAAAAGGAACCGCCCTCAATCCGTGAAACTATTGCAATGCGTAACACGAATGTGCGCGGCGCTAAGGCGAGAGCCACATTTTGAACACGACCCGCTCTCCATCTGTGAAGCGGTTGTCAATGTTGAAAGAATTTATTTATGAGGGGAAGAGGAGGAGGAGGAGGAGGAGGAGGAGGAGGAGGAGGAGGAGGAGGAGGAGGAGGAGGAGGAGGAGGAGGGAGGAGGAGGAGGAGGAGGAGGAGGAGGAGGAGGAGGAGGAGGAGGAGGAGGAGGAGGAGGAGGAGGAGGAGGAGGACCATCACATTCTCAAGGGGGGGAAGGCAGAGGGTTGGCCGACCCGACCCAACCCTCTACCTTCAGGGGTGACATCCGATCTCCCTCTCCACTACCCGCCGACCAGCCGTGCTGCGCCTTCCTTGAGGAGCACGGCAGCAGGGAGGCAAGGAAATCGGGGGCCCTCATCCGAGGCCAAAATATCTTCACTATCCTACCGTCTCCTTCGCTGACAGTCGATGGATCTCCATCGCCTGCGCCCCTGCCTAGAGGAGATCGTGGCGGAATCGGCTATCCGAGACGTGATTTCTATCCAAATCACAAACCCTACTACGGCCTAGAGGCTTATTCGGGAAAACGAACGAGGGCCCCAAACAGTGCGAGCACAGGGGCGGGCGAGGGGGCCCCAGGGGGGTGGGGGGCCCGCGGAGAGCCCGCCCAAGGCGCGGATATCTTCGCGCCCGCGCCGCACAGGGAGCCCCCTACAGCTTGCGGAGGCTGCTACGGTTGAAAGCCTCCTTTCACAATAGGCCACATCTCCATGGCCCTGAAATCTATCTCCATGCCGTCCGAGTTGAACAACGATATCGTGATGATGCTCTTCACAGGGTGCTGAAGGAACTTGTGACATCTCTTGTCTAACTTGGCACTGTCACGGGCGTCCGCGAAGTCCTTCCAACATACACTGTCATCTCTGTATTGCAGGAGGAGGAGGAGGAGGAGGAGGAGGAAGAGGAGGCGGAGGAGGAGGCGGAGGAGGAGGAGGAGGAGGAGGAGGAGGAGGAGGAGGAGGAGGAGGAGGAGGAGGGAGGGGGAGGAGGGAGGGGGAGGAGGAGGAGGAGGAGGAGGAGGATGAGGAGGATGAGGAGGAGGAGGAGCAGGAGGAGGAGGAGGCGGAGGAGGAGGAAAGGAGGAGGACGAGGAGGAAGAGGAGGAGGATGAGGATGAAAGGAGGAGGACGAGAAAGAGGGAGGACCAGTGTAGACCCAAGGCGTATCAGCGACGGTGCACTATACCCTCCATACACGAATTCCGTTTCATTGCGGGAAGTTGCCCATTCGAAGACAACCGTTTGAGGATCCTCAACCGTGCCACAACAGTTGTTTGGATTTCAGCAGCGCGGATCAGTATGACTCTTACGCCCTGACAAACCTAAATCTTGCCAGAACACTTTTACTGGGGCTCCGACCATACGAATCCTTGTAACTGCTGCAAGCTTTTAGGACGAATGTACGCGGTGCCAAGGCGAGAGCCACATTTTGAACATGAGCCGCTCTCCATTCTTAAAGTAAACTGCACTTTTTAAGACATACTTGCGCGGCGCGAAGGCGGTAGCCACATTTTGAAAACCACCCGCCCTCCATCTGTGAAACTGTTGCCAGTTTCAAGCTCCAGCATCACACATGGCGACGAAGTCTCAGGCGAAACGTCCTGCCCGTCCTACCGATGCGTCTGGGGGCACGGCAGGGATGAGTTAGTTGTTCATAAAGAGAAAGGGTGGAGGAGGCTGAGGAAGCAGGGAATGCAAGAGGGAGCAGCGGGAGCACGGCAGGCAGATGTGAGAGAACTTTACATCAGACCCGGGTGCCAGCGTCGCTGTTCCGTTCCCCTTCTCTAGCTCCCACCATTCTGATCGTGCTCCTCCTCCTCGGGGACGGGCTTGCACCTGCCACGCCATGTATCCAGCGGCCTGTGACCCCGTTCGCGGGTTGCCGGTTAAGGCTCAGCAGGAATGTGCGCAATCAACAGAGCTTGCCCCGACATATTCCTGAAGAGTCCCCCCCTCGGGGACTCAAGAACATGGTAGGGAATAGCGCTGTGTTTTGGGGTGCCCTTGGGGTGCCTCTCGGGGACCACCTTGAAGCTTCTTGGGGGCCACTTAGGGATTTCGTGGAGGCGGCTTGGGGGCTCCTGGGAGTCTCAAGCGGTTGGGGGCCTGTTGGGAGTCTTGGGGCCCCCTAGACGCGGAGGACAGGGCGGGTCCCCAACAGTGTTTCGCATCATTTTGGAGCCCCTGGGGCCCACTTGGTCTCGTCAGATATCTGAATGCCATTTGGGCTTCCCTGGAGAAGCTGGGGGCACCTCGGCCCGGGTGACCTTTGGCACTGCCCGACCCCCTCCGCGTGTGCATGCAGGGAGGGCCCCGCCCCCCATCCTTCGCCGCGTGTGGTTCCAGGCAGGCACTCTGCCTGGTCAATGTTGAACGAGGGATGGGCGCAGTAGCTGACCTGAGCGTCGCCCTCTTCCCTGGTTGAATGGTTGAGGGCGTCGGGGCCACCACTGACCACGGCCAGCGAGCCCGACGGCCCTACATGGGTCTCGGCACAGGAAACCCTCGCATCGCTGCGCCCCACATCTTTACGATTGCGCCATCCGAGCAGCAGGGCGGCCAGCAGGATGCGACGCCAGTGTTTTGTTGTGGCTTCCTCATTCGACAGCAGTCGGATGAGGTGTGGGTCGTGGACCAACGCAGGCCGTTGCCATCGCAGAACGTATCCCATCTGGCTCTGGGGGGATCGTTTGAGGTGAAGTCGTAGGATGAGCAGCAGGAGCGGAATATGCGGGCAAGATTCATGCAGTCAACCCGCAAAGAAAGGATAGGCGACCTTCCCAACGGTACCCCAGCATCCTTGCCTCCTCGGTCCATCCTTCGCCACTTTCGTTGGCCGCGCCCCGTTCGGAAAGCTTCGAAATGGGCATCCAAGGCCCTTGAATCCTTATCGCGCATCCTTATGATACGGGCCGACCGTATCCATATCCGCTGCGTCTTGGACTCTCTGGGAAGGGGCGCCGAGAGGCCGAGGCACAGTGGGTACGGTATGGATAGAAGTCCAGCCTCCAGGGGCCAGATGCTCATCCATATCCACTGCGCCGCGGGTGCCTGGGGAAGGGAGCCCGAAACTCCCAGATGCAGTGGATGTGGAAATGCACCTCGGGCGACGAAATCTATACGTATGCACTGCCCCTTTCCCAGGCCCTTCCTGGACCCAGGAGCTGTGCACACGCCCTCCTGGCCAAGCCAGGAGGGCGTGGCGTGTTGTACACCGCTGCTGGGTCCATGATGGGCCTGGCCAGGGAGCAGCGGATATGCATAGAGTTTCGTCGCCCTAACATCTTGCTCGCAAGACAGAGAAGGGGGTGCTCAGCTCGCACGTTGGTCTGCGGAACATCATCGCGAGACGTCCCAGCGACATGCCGAGAGCCTCGGAGCGCCGCCCCGCGGCGCGAGGCAGCTCCGCACGTTCGCGAGGCACTCGGAGGGCTGCTTCTTCTGGTCGTGGAAGGACGGCTACTGGAAAATCAGCACGCTTTTGGCAGCCAATGTTGGGCGATCTCTCCACCACCACCATAAGATGGAGGGGGGAAGGAGGAGGAGGAGGAGGAGGAGGAGGAGGAGGAGGAGGAGGAGGAGGAGGAGGAGGAGGAGGAGGAGGAGGAAGATGAGGAAGAAGAGGAGGAGGAGGAGGAGGAGGAGGAGGAGGAGGAGGAGGAGGAGGACCCCCTCCCCCTCCTACTTAGGGGGGTGGCGGTGAAAAAAAAGCTCACAATGCGCGCGATCTCTCCGAGGCACTCGGTTTTGCTGGGCGCGGGCTTTGCCAGACCCGAGCGCGAGGACCGCTGCGGGCCTCGAGCACCGTGTGTGGCCGCAGTTTTTTTCTGGACGGGCTGGCCAGGATCCGGGTGTCAAAAGTACGTGCTGTCGGCCAGCAGGCGCCGGATGCTTTCAACTCCCCGCTCAATATGGTGGCCTGGAGGGTCAATTTGTTCGGTAGCAAACCATGGGAGCCTTGTGCAGTTCCGTTATTCGAGTGCGTTGGTGTCGAACAGCGTTTGGTATTCGATGAGATAGCGCCGATTTAGCGTCGATTAGCGTCGACTTAGCGTCGATTAGCGTCGTCTTCGCTTCGACTTGGTGTCGATTAGCGTCGATTAGCGCCGATTCGTAAGAGCCAGCAAGATGGGAAGGGAGGCTCCCGTGAGTTGCTACCGAGCACTGCTGCAGAAGGGGCGATACGATGGCGTCGCGTCCTGCCTTGTGTGGTCGCGAAGGCAGCGTCGACAGCGCGCGTGTGAGATCTGCGCGGGCGCGCCAGAGCCAGAGCGCTCGACGGGGCTCATGTGGTGGGCGCTCGGATTTCGGATCGTGGCCTTCCGGCCAGTGTCGACGACGACCACGTGGTGGACGCGTACAAGCCCCAGAGAACGAGGCACCATATCAGATTCACAAGAACTTCGCGTGTCCACCACTAGGTGCGCCACCAGGTTCCTGTACAAGGCGCTCCTTTGCAAGCACGTCGTGTCCGGCACCGCCTGATCCCGAGGCTTTGCCTCCTCCCGGCCTCGCCGTGAGGCTGCGCTCTTTCCCTTCCCCCCCTCTTGTGAGTTCAAGCTTCGCGCGGCCCGCTTAGCTTCGACCGGAAGAGGTGCGCTCTCGACCCGCGAGTCAAAAAAAAGTGTCCACCACTGGGTTGGCCTCCTGTTCTTGGGGCTTCCGCCGCGGGAGGGCTCTGCTCCGCGACTCGGCCGGGTGGCCCTGCCGAGTCACGAGGGGCGCAGGGCCGCGGGCTCCGCTCCCTGCCCGGCCGCAGGCGCAGCAAAGCATCCGTCGTTGCGGGCTGATTCGAGTCCTTCCCCGGTCCGATCGGCGGGCGTCCATTCGTTGGTCTGCCCACCGCACTGTCGTGAGGTGCGTCTGACGCCCTCCTCCTCCGGCGTGATTCCAGCGCGGACCCCAGAAGGTGAGTTCCAGTTGCCTAAGATGTGTCATCAGAGTGTTGCAATACATGCGTGTCTCTGTATAGTGCTGTACATACATATACACATAGATACCTACACGGTGCCCTCTATGTGGTGCAGTCGATGGCATGCGAGCTTCGTCGCAGACGGGTCTCTGGAAAGGGCGACGGCGTGTCGCAGCAAAGCAGGCCAGCGGGACCCATAGGCGGCGGCGGGGAGTCAAGTGGCCAGGGCAAGCTGGACCCTGGACTGGCCACGAAGTACGTCATCCGAGGCAAAGGGGGCCCAGGGCCTCCTCCTCCTCCTCCTCCTTCTCCTCCTCCTCGTCCTCGTCCTCGTCCCCGTCCTCCTCCTTCTCCTTCTCCTCCTCCTCCTCCTCCTCCTCTCCTCCTCCTCCCCCTCCTCCCCCTCTCTCCCCCTCCTCCCCGCCCTCCTCCCCCCCCTCCTCCCCCTCCTCCTCCTCCTCCTTCTCCTCCTCCTCCTTCTCCTCCTGCTTCTCCTCCTCCTCCTCCTCCTCTGGTGCCGGCGATCCGTTGCAGCGAAGGAAACTGGGACCAGCAGAGTCCAGCAGAACTTGGGACCAGCGACGACGAGCTCAAACAGCCAGTTCATACCAGGGGCCCTGGGATGGGCGACGCCGAATCGCAACAGCGAGATCCAGTTCTTGTACACGAGTAAGACTCTCTTAGTGCAAGCGTTGTTTTTGAGAAGATGCAGGCATCTCTGCTGCAGCACGCGTGACTTGTGTCACTGGGTGCATCGAGTAGCTCTCTTGCACTCGGAGGCCATCAGGAGGTAACGCGACGAAGGATAACGGCATCGAGCCCTCGGGCATCGAGCGTGCCGTTTTGGGAGGGCAGCTGTGGGTGCTCTCAGTGTGTGTGTGTGTGTGTGTGTGTGCGCGTCTGTGTGCCAGCAGACCTAAAGGCCGCTTTTCGGGCGAGGGGCTGGGTGTCAGGCGAAATGTCGGCGGACCGAGTCATGTTGTGTGGAGTTCCAGACTCCACCTTGTTCAATACAGTAGGCTCGTCAAGTAAGAAAGCCGGCCTGCCAGCAGGTGTTTTTTCGGAAGGTCCTCATCCCCCCGCATTCACCAGGGTACTTTTGTCGTGTGTGGCTGCCGTAAGAGCCCCCCCTGCCGCCCCACCCGACGGCCGGTTCTGTTCGGGGCCCCCCGCGCGTGCCGAAGCCGCACCACGCGCGACCCAGTCCACCCGAGCCCCGCGCCAGACACAATGTCCCGCCAACCCCACGCGATCCTCAGGGGCAGCGACGGGGGGGATATGCGCAAGGTGGAACGCATCGATCCCGACTCGCCCATGCGTCGCCGAGAGGGGCTTGATGGCCCACCCTGCCCAGGAGTGCGGTTTCGCGGTCGGGGGCCTACATACTTCCGATCTGTCGGGGATGTATCGCCGATTCCAGGTCGATGTTTCCCCCACTCTGAACCAGTCCCCCACGGTTGTTTTTTCCCTCGCCCACTCGATTCCCCCCCTCACCTTTATTAAGCCATCCCAGGCCGTTCTGGTTCAGGCACCAGTGTAATCAACGGGCCCTGCTGTCAGAGGAGATTCCAGTGCTTCTGGCATCTGCGCTGGGGCTGGAGGCAATACTTCCCCGCATGGGCCCGCGAGCCGCGGTCTTTTTTCTTCAATACGCTTCTCGTTCACCGCCCAGCCATTCTTAGTTCTCGCCAAACGAGTTGAGTACGATTCCAAGACGGCCTAAATCCAGGCGACCCTGAGCCAGATGGAAATCATTGAAGACCTGAGGATTTCGCCGATATGTCGGCGTAGTTGGGCCGACGAGGTGCTCTGTAGCCCAAATAGCCGACTTTAGAGGCCAAGAAGTGGCCCAATAGGGGCCAAGCTGGGGCGAATGTCGGTTCCGACCGGATGTTGGGAACGATACGGAATTCCAGCGAGTCTTGGATGCTGTCGTGGAGCCATCTTGGGCCCCAGTGGAAGCGCTGGGACGCAGAGTGCGGCGACATGGCGGCGGAGCCTCCTTGGGGGGAACAAGGGGGCTACAGCTCTGAAGAGAGCTCTCGAAGTCAAATGTCGGACGCTCCTCAGTCTGGTTGGCGGTCGGATTCTAGAGCCTTTGTTCCGCTGGCCCCCCCAGGGAAAACAAGAGGAAAAGGAGGATGAGGAGGGCGACGAGGAGTACGAGCAGGAAGAGAAGGAGGGTGAGGAGGATCAGGACGAGCAGGAGGAGGACGAGGTTGGGGGAGTAGGAGGTGGATGAGGAGGAGGAGGAGGAGGAGGAGGATGAGTACGCGCTGATGAGGCCGTTAGGAGCCTTCTTGGGGCCAGCCTGGATGACAGTTTTTGAAAAAGAGCCAGCGTCGATTCGACCCGCACCTCTGGAGCTTGACCATCATGTATTGGAGTCCTCCTGAGCCGCTCTTGGGGTGCTCTTGGACCCTCTAGGAGCCCTCTTGGATGTTCCCTGGGTCTCTCTTGGGGCTCTGTCGGGTAGTCTTGGATACATCTTGGTAAGCTCTTCAGAAACAGCAGGCGATAAGGCGAACGCCATTGAATCACTTTGGATATTTGAGAGATTTTTGTTTTTTTTGGGCGTTCTTTTGGAATTCTCCGTGGCCACTTGGAGCCGTCTTGTGGCCGTCCTGGGGCCTTTTGCAGGCATGTTGGAGGTTACATTGAGTTATCCTGTGGCATCTTGCGCCATCTTGGGCTATCAGAGAGGTCACTATCATTGAACCACAAAATGGTCATCAGATGATTTTCATCTTCTCGCCTTTTCGCCCCCGAAGGGCTCTTGAGGCCTCGGAACGGTCGAAAGAAGGTCCCAAGACAGCCCCAAGACAGGTCTCGGATGGGCCCAATACAGCTTCAGATATTCCCAAGAGGGCCCTAAGAGAGGCCTAGTCTGTCCCTGCGAGGCCTCAAGCCCATCAACCTTTAGAACAAGCGCACCATGGCCACCTGTGCGCGACGCCGAGATGCCTGCGAGAGGCACGCCGACGCCCGCGAAAGGTCCCCAGAGGCCTCGAGTACGCCTCCAAGAGCCCTTTGTGGTCCCCAAGAGGCCGCCTTTGTCATCCACATGCCGTCTGAGGGCGAGGGGGGAACTCTTCAGCGAGGGGTAGGGTAAACCCCACCCCGAAGTGGAAGAATGGGGGTGGAAGAGGAAGCGTCCTGCGCCCCTGTGCCCAGGGGGCTTGCGGGACCTTCTGTTCTAGGGGCGCTGGGGCCGACGCGTCTCCCCCCGTCCTCGGGCGTGCGGCTCGCATGGTGTTCCGCGGTCCATGCTCTGGATGCTGCTGTTTTGTCTTGCATTGTCTTGTCCTCGTCCCGCCCCGCGACCCACCAGTGAGCCACCCGCGATCCACCCACGAAGCGCCCGCGACACACACTCGCCACCCATCCGCGACCCACCCGCGAAGCAGCGGCGACTCACCCGCGACCCACCCGCGACCCCCACGCGACCCACTCGCGACCCTCGCGGCCCACCTGCGAACCACGGTGCAGCTCCGGAGCTCTCGCTGCTTCGGTGGCCTCTTGGCCTCCGCAGGCTTTGTTTGGTTCAGGCACGGGCGACCCCCCGTGGTGCGGCGGCGCGCCCAAGGCGTTAAAGCATTCCGTGCGCACATGTCGGGCTCGGTGCTGGCGGGCGGCGCCAGGGGCCCTCCCTGGGGCGCGGCGCCACAGCAGAGCCCAGGGACCCCCACGAGCTGCCCGGCCGCCGGCGTGGAGGAGCAGCACACGCCGGAGCCCCGCCCGCGCGACGAGGTCCTGCGGGCGGTGCTGGGGCCCTCGGGCGAGCCCTCGGCGCCGAGCAAGAAGTCTCGGAGCCACGTCTACAGCGACTTCCCCGAGATGGAGCCCGCGGCCGAGCGGGCCCGCCGCGAGGAGGCGCGCGCCTCGCGGCAGCTCGTGCGGCCGAGGCGCCTGGACTTATGAGCGGCCCTCCCCGCGCTGGCGGCGGGGCGGAGCACCGGGGGCCTGCGCGCGCTCTCTCGTTCTGATGGGCCACTTGTCCACCACCACTGCCATAGCCAGGACGGGGGAGGAGGGAGGATGGGGAGTTCCTCCTCCTCCTCCTCCTCCTCCTCCTCCTCCTCCTCCTCCTCCCTCTCCTACCTATGGGCACTCGGCCCATCACTCTCCAGAGCACTCGATTTTGCCAGGCGCGGGCGCGGCCAGAGCGCGAGGACCGCTGCGGACCTCGAGCGCCGCGTGCGGCCGCAGTTTTCTCTTCCCGGGCGGGCCGGCCAGGATCTCCCGGCCTGCCGAGCAAGTGCTGTCGGCCAGCAGGCGCCGGGTGCCCACCACTCCCCGCCCAATATGTCGAAGAAGAAAAAACGCCACGAACATACATTTTTGGCGCTCCGCGGGGATTTCTCGGATCCGCGCTGGACCCCTCTGGCGGCGCCTCCGGCGCCGCCCCTGACGCGCTCCGCGCGCCAGGGAGGGGGGTCCAGCGCCGATCCAAAAAATCCGCGCGGAGCCCCCAAAGTTTATGTTTATGGTTTTTTTTCTTCCTCTACCAATATGGTGGCCTGGTGGGCCAACTTGTTCGGTAGCAAACCATGGGTGCCTTGTGCACCCTCGTACTTCCGTTTTGGAGTGCACAGCGTCGGTGAGCGTTTGGTAATCGATGGCGTAGCGTCTATTAGCATCGATTTTGCCTCGATTAGCGTCGACTTAGGGTCGATTTGCGTCGATTCGCAAGAGCCAACAACATGGTATGGGAGGCTCCCATGAGTTGCCACCGAAAACTTGCAATCATTCAGTCAATGTCAAGAGTTTGTCAGTAGGAACGTGATCTTTCTCAGCTGGCGTCACGAGCCACGTCTGGAGAAGTTTGACGGCGAGAGGAAAAAATCAGTGCCGAGCTGAAGCATGCCGACCTGACGCTGATGCAACACCGGCGTGGCCATCGCAGGCAATTCTTCGAGCCAGCGGACGCTCCTCTGGCCTCGTGATGTTCCAACCTACTTTAGTAAGGAGGGAAAGAAACACACAGACACAATTTATCGTCGATCCCCCAGAAAATATGGGAAAATATGGGAAGTGGGGGGGGGAATACAAAAACCCAGAAAATATGTGGAAATATGGGGAATCCTATCATTTTTGTATGTTTATTTGTGTGTCCCAGGGGCCCTTCATGTAGCTTTGAAACCAGAGAGGATCTCAAGCATCAAGCAATAATCGAAGCTGCCGGGTTTTTACGTGTCGGGCCCTGGGAGGCGATATTCCTTCGGCAATTCGCCAGCGCGTCGGGCAGACACTGCCACGATACTTTTCGGGGTGCTCGAAACTACGCATATTTCTGGGATGTGGTCCTGAAGTACGCTGGGAGCAACATACCTCTAGCCTCACCTCTGCCTCAAGCTTGGCCGCCAGGGGACTGTTTGCGGGACGGCCGTCGGCCATTTTGAGGCTGCCCGACGGACCAGAAGCAGCCTGAGGCGGACGAGGGGGGCCGCCTGATGGCCCTCTTGGAAGCCATCTTGTGCCAGGAAGGGTGGCGATGTGAGCATGTTTTGCCGCACATCCCAAGTGATCAGTTTTTTCCATAGTCTCCTGTCTTGTCCCTCTCATGGTCAGACCACCCACCCTCGAACTCCTATTCGCTCGTGTTCAGGGAGTTCAGGCTCGCTCACTCTCAGACCACTCGCACTCAGACTCACTTCCTCGGACACTCACGCTTGGATTTACTCATACTCCGACTCACTCACGCACACACTCAGGCGCAGTCGCACTCCGATTCTTTGAGCTCAGACGCACTCATGCTCAGACCCGCTCACGTTCAGAAGGTAGGCGGGTGTCTTCTCAGGGCCCCGTGGGTACCGCGATGCAATTAGCAGGCATGGCGTTCGGGTCTCCCAAGGGGGTGTCGGACACGTTTCGCGGGCCCTCTTGCGCCCAGATCGTGGGGACGTCTCCTGCGAAGCGTCCAGTTTTGGAAGGTAAACTCGCGCCCTCCGAAGGCCCAGTGGTGTGCGATGTAGCAGGCACGGCAGTTGGACCCCCCAGAGCGGTGATGGTCTTTGATGCTTCACGGTCCCGTTCGCTCCCAGACTGCGGGATGTCCCAGGCGAGACGCGCCCATGTCGCGTTCATATAGTGGGGATGTCGCATGCGAAGCACTCGTTTTGGAGAGCGGGCGATGTGGCAGGCACGGCATTTGGGCCACTCAGGGGGGTGTCGGCCTGGGGTGTTTCACGGGCACGTTTGCGCCCAGATTGTGAGGGTGTCTTACGGTCGGTTCGCGTCGTATATACGCGGCCTCGATCCCGCCGCGGGCGTTAAGGTTAAACGCGGCCAGTGTCCCAGAATTGCCCAATATGGAGCAGCTTGGCGTTTGGAAAGCCGCCGATCGTTCGAGGCTGAACGATCCACGCGGTGTCAGAGACCAGCGCGCAGGTCGTCACGACGCGAACCCGCCGCAGACGCATGGCTTCTCGGGGTCCCGTTTGCATTTTGACCGCCCAGTGGGCAGACGCCCCGGGGGTTCGGCCCGGGCCGGCTCGCGCCCAGATGGCGGGGGTTTCGTAGCCGCTTGGATTGCAGGACCCCCCCCTCCTTCTCTCCTCCTGCTCCTCCTCCCCCTCCTCCTCCACCTCGTCCTCCTCCTCTCCCCCTCCTCCCACGACGGATGCTCCGACCTCTTTACGTTCAATCTTAACCCATGCGCAGACGTCCGCATCTTCAGCCGCGCGTGCTCAAGCTCCTCTCACGCTGGCACTTCACATCCAGGCGCTCATACGTAGGGTCACTCATACACAGCCACTCGTATTCAGACTCGTTCACATTCGGACGCACTGATACCGAGACGCTCTGAAAGGAACGCGCTAGAGGTTTGATGCACATGTGGGGATCTCCGCGTTGAATTATGGCACCTCTCCGCGGCCCGTGGGAGAGGAGGAGGAGGAGGAGGAGGAGGAGGAGGAGGAGGAGGAGGAGGAGGAGGAGGAACAACAATAATACCACCACTAATGTGAATGCTAATACATATAGTAATGCGAATAATAATGCGAATACTAGTATCACGACGATGCATACTAGTAATATTAGTACTTACGATAAGGTTAATACCACGAATAAAACGAATACTACAAGCGATATTGCATACGCATATTATCATCACCGATACCAATCGTACTGAGACAACTAATAATAGTAATGCCAATAAGAAAGCTATCACTAGCAGCACGAACACTACTAACAATGCGAAGAAGACTACTAATAGTAAGGGCCATGAGCATCACACTAAGAAAAACAAGAGGATGATGATGAGGAGGAGGAGTAGGAGGAGGAGGAGTTGCAGGAGGAGGAGGAGGAGGAGGAGGAGGAGGAGGAGGAGGAGGAGGCGGAGGATGAGGGGCTGGTTGTGGAACCAACGACGGCGGCTGACTATTGATTAGTGCAGCTGCATTCCGCCTGTCCATCGGCCAGGCAGGAAGTCCCTTTCGTCGCCCTTTGGCCCTGTAGCCTCCAAGTGAGCCAGGGCTTAGGCGGGTCCATCGTCTTCGTGGCCCCGTGTGTTAACCTCGGCGCGATACAACCAGCGGTCGGAATACAGCCATTGGATCCCATGATGCGTGTGTTGGGCCAGCCTGGTTGGGCTGCCTGTCAGCTGCGCACGTTCGGAAGATCGGGACCAGCCTGAGCAGGCCCAGGAGTCAACAATGAATGTCCTCACGTGTCTTTCCTGCAAATCCAGTGGGGGGTTCGCTCCAGCACTGCAATTTTTTCGAGCGAGGACGTTCCAGCAACCCATACGGAAAACAGTGATACGCTCCAGCTTTGCGTTTAGATCGAGCAAAAGCGTTCCAGCAGCCCGCGGCATGTGCTCCAGCACTGCGCTTTTATTGAGCGCGAGTTCTGCAGCAGAAAGCAAGGGGGTGTCGCCGTCGCCGTCGCCGTTGCCGTAGACGTCGCCGCTGTGGCCGTCGCCGCTCTCGCCGCTCTGCCGCCGCTGCCCTCGCCCTCGCCTTCGCGGTTGCCGCCGCGGCCTTCGCAGTCGCCTTCGCCGCCGCCTTCGCCGCCGCCTTCGCCGCCGCCTTCGCCTTCGCCGTCGCCTTCGCCGTCGCCTGCGCCGTCGCCTGCGCCGCCACCGCCGCCAGCGCCATCGGCGCCGCCGCCGTCGCCACGGCGGGCGTCGTCGCCGCCGCCGCCGCCGCCGCCTCTGGCCGTCGCCGTCACAGCGGCCTGGCCCCCGCGGTCCCGCTTGTTCCAGCGATAGATCTCACGCTCCCTTTCGCTTCCCCCCCGCCTCAGGACGACGCCGGCCCGGAGTGGAGCCTGCTGGAGAGCTGCGCCCGCGGCTGGATGCCGTCGGGGCCCGCGGGCGGCGCGGGCAGCGCCCAGAAGGTGGCCGACGCCGCCGCACAGATCCCCAGCGCGCAGGCCCAGGACGGCCTCGGGGCGCCTATGTGCGTGGACACGGGCCCGCACTAGCAGCGTCCCGACGTGGACCCCGCGAGCGGAGGGCTCACGAGTAGTCGCGGCGGCCCCGTGGCTGCCCCGTGCGCGGCTTCACGACATGCTTTCTGTCTGTCCACCGTTCCTGAATTTCTCTATCGCTGCAGAGCAGGAGGGCGGCACGTGGTCATTCATGGCCTTCCTCTCCGCTGTTTTCTTTTGGCCTGGGCTTGTACAGACTGAGGGCATGACCAATGCGCCTATGCCGCCGCCCACTCACGCATGTCAGTCATGTCAACCGTGTAAAATAGACCGAGGGCTTGTCTACAACTGGGATGCATTTAGGTATCTCTGGCGCCGTTAGGAGGTGCCCCTGATGTCAAGAACTCTGCGCCGCGTCGCCTGGCCGAGCGAGCGCTTGGCGCGGCGCGGAGGAGCCCTGCCCTTGAGAGTGTAACTTAATCCCGCTGGGGCATTGTGAAAGGATTTGTATCGAAGACGCCTACGGTGGTCCACCGCCGCCCGCTACCTTTTGCAAACGCCTATGCTTCCAAACGTTGGTCTAACGTTTGGCCAAGCTATTCGAATCTGTGTATTCCCCCCAGCGTTTGTGGGAGCCATTGGGGTAGCATCTGGGGGAGGAAACAAGGGAGGAGGAGGAGGAGGAGGAGGAGGAGGAGGAGGAGGAGGAGGAGGAGGAGGAGGAGGATCTAGTGGGTTTCCTTTGGAGGAACGGCTCCCAAGGCCAGTTCGAGTTCGGCCTCCAGGGTCCCTCTTGAGGCACTCTTGGGAGTCCCTTGGTCCGTCTTGGAAGCCTCTTGGGCCACTTCTGATGCCCTCTTAGGCCATCGTGGGGTACCCTTGGGCGCCTCTTGGGAGCCTTTTGGGAGCCTCTCGGGCCGTCTTGGGGCGATCTTGCAGGCCTGTTTTGCCGTCTTGGGCGCCCTGAAGCCCGAAAAGGCGATACCGCCAATGTGGAATCTATGGTTTTGGCTCCTCTGCGCACTCTTGGGACTTCGCTTGGGGCACTCTTGGGGCGTCTTTGGGGCCTCTTGCGCCGTCTTGGGCGCCCTGGAGCCCTCGTGGACCGTTTGGGGGCCATCTGGGGGCCCCGTGGAAAAGCCGCGCGGGGCGCCCCAGGGGTCCGAGCCGCGCTGCGGTATCCGGGGATCAGGGGCCTGGGCCCATTCAACTGAACTTAGTTTTAAGTCGTCAATTCGGAGAGCTCCAAGGGACCTGAAGACATTCCACCTCGTGCCCAGCTGCAAGGGGGCGGATATTCTTTGTTTGGTGATCGATTCCCTTGTCCGATGCCACCGACATATCCATGGCAGACTGGCGGGCCCGGGGCAGCCACCAATGGGGGTCCTCCAGCTCGGAAAACGGAAGGCCTGCAAGAAGGGAAAGGATGAGGGACGATGACGACGTTGCGAGGTGGTAGGTAGCGAAGGCGGAGGAGGAGGAGGAGGAGGAAGAGGAGGAGGAGGAGGAGGAGGAGGAGGAGGAGGAGGAGGAGGAGGAGGAGGAGGAGGAGGAGGAGGAGGCCGTAGCAATTTTAGGCTCAAATCCGTAGTGTTTCGGCACAGGACTTGAACCTTACTGGCGTGGGGGAAGTCGCGGCCCCCGAAACCTGTTGACCCCCCGCTGCCTGGTTAGACGAGGCGTTTCGGCATCTTGTGAACTCCTGATGGAGCAGTTCTCGTTGCACATCTCGCATCGCCACTCACCGTGAGTTGATGGCACTGTGGCATCAGCATGCATCTCGGCAGCCCCTTTTGGCCCTCCAGGGAGCAGCGCCATGGACATGCGGATTGTTCGGAGTCGGCGGCAGCTATGCCGCGAAGATGCATTGCAGGGCGTGCCTCTCGCCTGCGCATCAGCACATCCAGTCTGCCATCGCCCGTGCGTCCAAGTCAACGGCGCCCGCCCGCGTCCCATGGCATGCTACGGGGAAAGGCGCCAAGGGCAAGAGCGCTGGCCCTGCTGCTCGCCAGCCTGCTGGCGGCGCTTGGAGCTACTTCGGTGTTGGTGCCGATATGCTACACCAGCCGTCGAAACAGCAGCAGCAGCAGCAGCAAGGCGGGGACGGCACCAGTGATCAGATCGCCGCCCTCGATAAATCCATATTCACCTTGGAGCCCCTCGGCGACCCCAACCCCTACGAGGTCTTGGAGCGGAAGCGCAACTCCTCCGCCAACAGCTGCAGTAGCTCGAGGGCAATCTGTCCACTGTGGAAAGAATTTGGCCCGTCAGCGAAACGAAATTGCATCAGGCTTAGAGCTTCGGCTGGAGCAAGCCCACCAGCAGCATGAGTCCTGGGCCCAGGAATTCGGCGCCCTTCAGCAGAAGAAGGCCGCCCTTGCCAAGCGCCCGGCCGAGCAGCAACAGCCCCAGCCTGCAGGCGCCCCAGGGGCGGCAGGCGGACCCCATTGTGGGCCCACGGGGGTGGCGCAGGTTGTCATCGGCCTGGGGAGTGGTGGGCACCCGGAGCGACGGCGGCGCGACCATGGAGGACGGCTCCTCCGAGCAGCTGCCCGCGCCCATCGCTTCAGCGCTCCAGGAGCTCCTCGAGCTGGTCAAAGGGGGTCCCCCAGGCAAGCGCCGTCGGGGCCTCCGCGCCCGTGCAGCCTGCTGCCCCCGCTGCTTCCACCGCCGCTGCAGGGGCTGGAGGCGCGACAGGCGCTGCACCTGCCGATGCGCCTGCGAACGGAGAAGCTGTACCTGTACCGTGTGATTTGGAGGATGCCGAGCGCAAGCGCGACGAGGTCATCGAACATTTCGTGGCCGACCTACCTGATGAGGAGAGGGCGGGGGAGCGTATCGTGCTGGGCTCCCCAGGACGTCGAGGCGTCTGGCACGGCGAGGTGGCGCTGCCCAGGACGTCAGGCGTCTGACAGCGCCAAGGACGGCGGCGGTGGCAGAAGTTCAGGACGCCGCAGGCCCTGCGGGGCTCGCCATGTGATCGCTGCGTCTTTCAACGGCAACCTGTCTTGGAATCGTCTTGAGCAGTTATTGGATGAGGCGATCTCTACCTTCATCGAGGCTGGTTGCGTATCCGTCATCGCGGTGCAGGTGCGCGCCAAGCCCGAGGAGTGGCTGAACGTGTCCGCGGCGGCCCAGGAGTCCCAGGACCACCGCGGTTGGCGCGTGGTGGGAGCCCCTGTTATGCGCGCAGATGAGGGGGGCCACCCCGCAGGCGTTGCCCTGGTCACCCCATCGCGTCTTTCCTGGAGCGAGACCCCTGGGCAGCAGGCCTCTGGGGCCTCTCGCCCCCATCTTGGATTTGATAGTCCATTGAGCCATCTCCGACAGCCCCTGGAACCGGGAAGTCAGGGGCCAGGTCCTCGCGTGTAGCGGGGGAGGGGGCACTTGTCGCTCGCAGGTCGTGAAGTAGGGCACTGAGCAGTGCGCCGATTGGGTCATCGACTTCTTCTGGGTCGACTCGCGTTTGGCCGCCATCTTCAAGGAAATCGACTCGTCCGGGCACGTGCCCTGCAGGCCGCGCAGCCTCGCGTGGAAACGATCCTCGAGGCCCTGGTGTGCATGTACCGTTTGGGCCATCAAGGGGCCCGAGCAGCGCCCGAGCGAGCCCCCCCCGCCGGTGGTGAATCCCACTGTGCCCGTGAAGTACACAGGGCCCGACCTCGCCAGCGGCACTCAGCATGATTTGAATCGCTACGTGCAGGACTTATGCGTCGCCGCGGAGGCCGAGATGCGGCCCCTGTTCAGCCGGGGCGAGTCCGAGGCGCGGGAGTGCGAAGGTCGGGGCGCGACCCCCGAGGTGGTTACTCGACAGTTTAAGCTTGGGCTATCGAGCCCCGTCGCGGACCGTGGTCCTGCGAGGGCCCGGCGATGGGCAGCGGGCCAGCTGGCCTGTATTGGCCGGCTGGTCTGCTGTCTCCCCAGGGGCAGTCCCAGTCTCAGGGATCGGCCCCGGGGGGGGCGAGCCTCCTCGGCCCTGCGTCGAAGAGGTCTCGCGCCAGCTGGTCCGCGCCTGGCGCAGACTTCTGCTCGCGCAGCACCGATGGGGGCAGATGGGGCGCTGGGGCGCCTTCTTCCTGCTGGTGCTGCGGGGGCAGGCCTGGGTCGAGCCCTGGCTGAGATGCGCCGGGGTGCTCTTCGTCATCCAGCAGTTCGCCGAGGTCTGATCCCAGTCCTGGGGGCGGTCCCCCATGCGGCAGAGGTCCGTCGAGTTGCGCGAGAAGCTCAGCGACGAGTTTTTTGGCCCAGGAGGTTACATGCGCAAAGCCTGTCATCGGAGGCAGGCCTGGAGGAAGCCCGTCTCCCCGGTTCGCAAGGTGAAGCTGCGCGCGGGCCCCCGGGAGGCAGCCGGTCAGGAGGCTCAGGAGTGGGCCAGCATCTGGAGAGCGCGTGCGGGTACGCATGCCAGGCCATGGCAGGCCTCGGAGATCGTCGGCAGTTGGAAAAAGTTGCTGCAAGTTGTTCGCGCGAGAAGCCCGGCAGCTGCGCTCCAATTGCCGCGGCTACCGATGGCGGAGAGGGCGCGGCTTGGACGGCTGGCCCTTCGGGCACCTGGCGTGGCTGAGCGACCAGCGCCTCGCGTGCCTGTCCAGCGTCATCGCGGTGTGCGAGCCGATCTGCGTGTGGCCCTCCTCCATGCAGATGCTCGCCCTGGCTCTTGGTGGCCGTCGAAGATGGGGGACCGGGCCCATTGTGCTCGTTCCGACGCCCGTCCGCATGTGGGAATCAGCTCGTGGCCCTCTGGTGCGCGCTTGGGGGGGGGGGGGGCGCGTCGGGCCGTGCGGCTGGGCGGCCCCAGGGCGTGGCGGTGAACGAGCAGTCTGGCGCGCCGTGCTGGGCGACGAGGCTCTGGAGGGCACGCCCTTCTAATCCATGGCTGCAGGTTTACGAGTATGTTTCGCTCGACCTGATCTGCGTCTTCGGGCTGATACTGAACCTCCCTTCGCGCGTGCTGGCTGTCTTTGGAGTCCAATGCCTTGCCTCGGGCGCTTCGCAATGGGCGAGCTCCGGCAGGGGCAATCCTCGCCCGCGCGGGCCTGCCGGCGGGAGTCACGTGCGCGAGCGTATTCTTGCTGTGCCCCATCTTGGGCGTCATCGCGTGGTGGCTTGGGGCGAAGATAGACCTCGCCGCGTGCGTGGGCGACTTGGCCCCGAGGCTAGTCGGCACCTCCGCGCAGCTGGTGGGCGTGCCCCTCGTGGCTGTCAAGGCCCTCGCCGCCCTGCTCGTGAACCTGCTGCAGTTGAAGGTCTCCGAGGGTCCGAAGGGGAGGTCCAAGTTCGTGACCAGCGACGCCGTGCTCGTGGAGCAGGTGGCCCCCTCCTTCTCGGACGCAGGGCTCCTGCGGGGCCGCGGCGAGAGATGGTCGGGCGTGGGCTGCCAGCAGGGCCGCCGCAAGAGGGCCGCCGGAGCCGGGGGGGTCAAAGTGGCCGAGGGCAGATGGCGCAAAACCGCCGCGCTGAGAAGGCGCGGCGCGCGCGTGCGACCCGTTGTGTGGCAGTGCCTCAAGGCGTCGACGGCCCACGGCGTTACTTTCGCAGAGAGCTCCCCATGCTATGATGAAGTTCCTGGGGGCGAAGACAGCAGCGGCGCGGGCTGGCGCTGGCGCCTTCGGCTCCGGGTCGCATGGCTTGGCGCTTGCCTCCAGGGCCGACTGCGCCGAGCAGCTGAAGCTCGCGCCGTTGCGGTCCTGGCTGTGCGAGGCGTGGGGCCACCTGGGGCGGCGGAAGACCGTGGCCTGGGAGGGCCATGCAGGGGCCGTGGCCCCGCCGCTGCGAGCTGGGATGGGCCATGCAGGGGCCCGTGGTACATCCAGATCGCCAGCGGCGAGAGTGTTGGCATCCGAGAGGTTTCGCCGCTGGAGGTGCTGAGGACTGCCGGTCGGGCCATCATGAAGCGGAGGCTTTAAGATTGGGCTTGGGTGAAGGAGGAGCGTAGATGGCTCCCGCCGAGTCTTGTTCTTGTTGCCAGTCACGCGGTTAACTCGTTCGCAGAATTCGAGAATTGGACCAGGCGCCGCAACGACTGCGTGAGGGCAGCTGCCATTGGTGGATCCCCGTCGCAGGCGGCGTGTACTTGCGTCGGAGGGGGGTCCGTTGTGTCCGCTTTTGCCACAAAGAGCAAAAGGGCCCTCGTGCGTGTGAATTTCAAGTGCGACTCTGACGAGTGCCCCAATATTCGCGAGCAGCTGACGGACCCCGAGGTGAAGCTCAGCTATGGGGATATCGTGCACTTTGGGGGGGCTGCAGCCGATAAACAGGAGCAGGGCTGCAGAGGCAGGGAGCTCTTGCTCTGGAAATGGGCTCGCGGGCTGGTCGCCGACCCCGTCGCAGTGCGCAGGGTCCCCCATCCCCCTGACCCTTCGAGCTCGGCGGCGCCGAGGGGGCCACGCTGCTTGCGGGCTGGGTTGCCGCGGATGGGTGCGCCCTGGGCCCAGGCGCGGAAAAACTATCGACAAGAGGCTTCGCCGCCGCTAGATGGGATCTCGGGGAAAGCAGCGAGTCTCAATCGATGTTCGGAAGCGTTCTTGTCTCGAGGCCCACGTCGGCCCGCTGTGGGATCTGGGCAGGGTGCCACGCTGCGGGGAACTCCTTAGGGCTCCAGGGGCTAGTCGTGGCTCTTGGCTGGTAGGGATTTCTGTCAAGGGAGCGGGCAGGTCACCGCGCATCTTTGGCGTGGCGCCCGTGAGGATCAACGGTTGATGCCTCGGCAGTACTTCCAGATGATTGAGATTCGCTCGCATATGTCCGTCGCCCAGCGCTTTCGCCTTGAGTGAGGGCGAGAGCAATATACATTACTTTATGAAGGAGTGCGCCGGCACTGGGGCGCGGGAGGGGGCCGACCCCTTCGCTGCGCCCAAGCGGAAGGTTGATCAAGCTCGGTCGGCCTTCGGGACCCAGCGTCATATTTATCATGTGTCGCTTCTGTCGGAGTCGAGGTGGAGGCTGCCGAGGCCGCCACCGCGAGCCTACCCCCTTCCTCGAATCGGGTTTGGAAGCGTGGCCTTGTGCCCCGCCCAGCAGCTGTCGCGGAGCAGACCCACAGGGGCAGGCTTTTGAAGGTGGAGCCTGGAAGTGCCAGTGTTGCTCTCGCTTTGTCCGCGCGGCCTCTCGCCTCAGCCTGGCCTAGAGGGTGCTGTGCCCAGGTTGGGGTGGAGCCATATCCACAGGCAGGGCCCGTCTAAAGTCCAAGTCTCTTGTGCAGGGCGATTTTGTTTCTGACCGAAGTTGGGACGCGGCGGCTGAGAGGGTCAATGCGGCCAGCGGTTCCTCGGCTGTGCCCCCGCCCCCGCCTCGGGAACGCGATGTGTTTGAGAGAGTGGGCTGCGCTGTGTACTGTATGTGTGGATCCTTCGCCAAGTCTCGGTCCCAGAAGCTGTTCAGAGAATGCGACGGCTCCTTGATGAAAACGAATCGTGGCCCACAAGAGGCGACGGCTCTATCGTGATAGAATCCCCAGGAATTCCAATCCCCACGCGGGTAAGCCAGTTGGGGAGGAGGACTAACCGTTTGCCTATTTTTGCCCAAGGTGGTAAGTGGTTTAGCGGCCCGTCCCCAGGAACCCCCATGTCGAAAAAAGAGGGTGAGGAGCAGGAGGAGGAGGAGGAGGAGGAGGAGGAGGAGGAGGAGGAGGAGGAGGAGGAGGAGGAGGAGGAGGAGGAGGAGGAGGAGGAGGAGGAGGAGGAGGAGGAGGAGGAGGAGGAGGAGGAGGAGGAGGAGGAGGAGGAGGAGGAGGAGGAGGAGGAGGAGGAGGAGGAGGAGGAGGAGGAGGAGGAGGAGGAGGAGGAGGAGGAGGAGGAGGAGGGAGGAGGAGGAGGAGGAGGAGGAGGAGGAGGAGGAGGAGGAGGAGGAGGAGGAGGAGGAGGAGGAGGGGAGGAGGAGGAGGAGGAGGAGGAGGAGGAGGAGGAGGAGGAGGAGGAGGAGGAGGCAGAGGAGGAGGAGGATGAGGACGAAAAGGAGGAGGAAGAGGAGAACGAGGAGGAGCAGGAGGAAAAGGAGGAGGAGGAAGAGGAAGAGAGGGACGAAAAGGAGAAGGAGGGGTGGAGGAGAAGCTGGTTGTGAGGGAGGTTGAAGAGGGTTGAGGAAAATGCCTGCAGGAGTGGGTGCCCGTATTCCCGCGCCATCGAAGCTGGCAGAATGTCCCCCCAACTCCCTCTTCCATCTCCTTCTCATCTGGCACCTCCCCCCCTACCCTAGACATGCTCGCGCCCTAAAAAAAAACACGACGGGAGTTTGTTTCCATATCTTTCGGCCTTTTGGGGTCCTCGCCCGGCCCCAGGACCGTCAAGTACCTACTCATTCGGGACGGAAAGCAGGCCCTGGGGACGGGGTGCCAGATCGGGACTTCCGGGGACCGCGTATGGAAACATAGTCAGGGGACTTGCTCATCCGCCACCTCCTCCTCCTAGGTAAGCAGCTGCACTTTTCCGCTTGCGCCTGAGACGATCGTGGTCTGATTTGGGGCTCCGGGTCCGCTGACACGCGCCCGCGAACAGAGAACACATCAGCGCAATGGGAAGGGATGGGTGGGAGCGGTAGGATGTCAGACACGGCGCGAGTGCACCTGGGTTGCTTCCTTCTTCCTCTGGCACCTCCCCCTCCCGCGCGGTCTTTCGGGGGTCCCAGCACGGTGCGGTGGCAGACCGCGTGGTGACACCGAGATCCCCGAGGCTCACGCTGCACGCTGCGTCGCCGCACGGTCCTCGAGGCCCTGGAGCCCCTGGTCGTCCGAGGCATCTTCGGAGAGCGGCCCGGGTCGCAAGGCCGTGCGGGCACCCCGAGTCCACGGCCCGCCGAGCGGGGAGCGGGAGGGGGCGGGCCCGATCGGAAGGCGGCGGGGCTCCTCAGAAGCCCTCCGCCCTTCCGAGAAGCCCCCCTCGTGGTTTCGGAGGCGGCTCTCGGAGAGCTCTTCTCGGCCCTCCGAGGGGGCCCGCCTCCCCTGCCTGGCCCCTGGGCGCGCCGCCGACCGAAGCCCCACCGACGTGCCACACCGTGTGCTCGCCAGGAGAGCCGATGTTGCGAACAACTTGCAGCATCAATCGCGGGCCGAAGCCCCGGACCTCGTCTTTCCGGGGCATTTTTAGAGCCAGACCGAGCCGTGATGGTCTTGGGGTCCAGGTCGAGAGCGCCTGGTGTGAAACAGCTGCAAAAGCATCGGTTTTCAACGGTCTGGGGCCCTGCGAGGGCCCCCTGAGACCAGAAATGGCGAAAGGATCTCGCATTGAAGTGCTGGATACGTTGGAGGTCAAGGCTTGGGGATCCCCGATGCCCGGCCCCCCCCAATCCGCGGCGGGGATTCCTCCATCCCCGCCGCCCGGTGGATCGGTCTTCGGGCACCTCGGCAGGCGGTGGACCTGCGTGCAGAGTCGGGACCCCGGGGGCCCAACTGGATCCGCATCCGCCGCCCTCTGGGGTCTCCCACCGGGGACGTCAGGCTCCCAGGTGGTGGGCCCGGATGTCTCCCCGCCTCGCACCTGCGGGGCGCGCTGCCCGCAGCCGCTGGCTCCCCGTGCGCCGCAGTGCCCGGCCCCGCGCCTGCCTTCCGTGCAACCGGGGGCTGTTTTGAAAGGCCGGGGTCTGGCCCGTGGAGTGTCGCCACGAGGCGAGCGGGTCGGGAAGCGGGGCCTCCCAGAGTGGGGGCGCGCAGCAAGAAGCCAGATGTTTTTCGTCCGGGTATCCTGGGTTTCGTCGCTCTCGCTGCGCGGTGACTTCCCGCAGCCGCTGGAGGAGCTGCTGCGTCCAGGGTGCTCCGGGTTTCCCCTCAGGTGTGCCTCGCGCACGTGTTCTCAGGGTTGGGTTTCTTGCGAGGGTTTCTTGCGGCCGCGCCCGCACTGTAGATGGGGTCCGAGTAGACGGGGTCGGAGGATCGCGCCGCGTCGCGGATACATCGCCGATGCGGTTCGATGCGGAGCCGGAGTTTCTCCACGCATGCGTCGCCGATGCGTCGCCGATGCATCGCCGATGCATCGCCGGTGCATCGCCGATGCATCGCCGATGCGGCGCGATCCTCCGACCCCATCTTCTCCGACCACATCTAGAAGGCCTCTGGATGTCGCCATGAAGCAAGCGGATCTGGAAGGCTTCGTGTTGCGCACGGGCTGCTCGGGGGGTTCGGTGGCAAGTTATGGTAGCCTTGTGCCCCCTCGGAATTCCGTCTTTGGGGTGTGTTGGCGTACGCCGGTGTCTGGTAGTCGATGAGAGAGCGCCGCTGTAGCGTCGATTAGCGTGGGTTTTCAGCACCGATTGGCGTCGATTAGCGTCCATGAGCGTCATTCGGCGTCGACTCGCAGGAGCCAGCAAGATGGTACGGGAGGCTCCCGCGAGGTGCCACCGACGGGGGGGGGGGCCCGCTGAGGCCAGCGGGGGCAACTCCTGGGGGACCTGCTTTGAGGCTGCCCGGGGGAGCTGCCTGTGCGCAGCCCGAAGCGTTACCAAAGGGGGTTCCGAGGCTTCTGGACAAATCAAAAAACACAAATAACAGGATCCCCCATGTTTTCCCACATTTTCTGGGTTGTTGTCTTCTCCCCACTCCCCATATTTTGCCATATTTTCGGGGGAATCGACGATTCATTGTGTCTGTGGGTTTTTTTCCCTCCTGACAATGGGCGATTGGGGGGCGATTGGGGGTCGATTTCCTCCACGGGCCCTGGGACTGTCAAAAAACGCTCCAGACAAACATCAAGTCGGGCATGCCCCTCTGCGGGAGGAATTTTCATAAATAGTTTAAAACATAGTCTGGAGACGATTTTGGAGTATTTTTTGACTATTGTTGAGCATTTCTTGATTCTTTTCCATTTTCCCCCCCAATCCGCCAGTAGGGGGACATGCCCGACCTAAAGCTCGAGACAGAAAGCTGGTGCTCGGGGGAAGTCCCTGGCGTCCACGACCCGTTTCCCGCATGACCCGTTTATTTCGTGCCCATGAGCGTCCGGTGGTCGTGGAGCCGCCCTTGGGACCCCAGCATCAGGTCTGGACCTCCAGGCGTCGTGGAACAAGCCGAGCGGCGGGCGTTTCTCTTCTTGGCTTCAGTCGGCGAAACGCAAAACTCGGGTTCACCAGAACTCGGGTTGGCCGACGCTTTGTGACGGGCCCGTCCTGGATTTGATGGTCCAGCTTGGTCGGATGTTTGCAGCAGGAGCTCGCGTCAAAGTTCAGATTGGGTCTCGTTATTTTCCTGACGGCCCCGTCAGGCCAGCCCGAGTCCCCCGAACCCGAGTTTCACGTCTCCCTGGCTCAGAGAGAGAGAGAGAGAGAGAGAAAAAGAGAAAGACGGGCTCACAGCCTCATCGTTTTGGCCGTCTGGTGGTTCCTGCCGCCCCTGGCCCCTGAGGTGGTTCAGCGACCCCGGGCCGAGCCGACCGAAGCTCTTGCGCCACGACCCTCGCAGACGTTTGAAGCCTTGCGGCGGCCCCGGCCCGCGTTTGAAGAACAGGTGTCGGGGCCGCTGCGCCAAGTTGGAGCCGGCTGAGGATTGAGGTGGCCCAGCACTGGTTCTGGCCAGCACCAAAGGGGGGAGAGAGGGACCCCTCGCCTCCACGGCTGGACGCGGCTCGAAAACTTGGCAGTTTCGACCCTGGGAGGTGATCTGAGCGGCCTTCCCCGCGCCCCCCCCCCTCGACCGATTTCCTTTGGGCTTATCCAGCTCGGGCCCGCTGGCCGCCTCCAAGGTGTCGGGGCCACTGCGCCGAGATCTCCTCCCCGGTCTCCGTTGGTCTTGACTTGCAGCCGCTGAGAGAGAGAGAGAGAGAGAGAGGGGCGCGAGGGCGAGGCGCCTGGGGAGAAAAGAGGCCTCCCCCCTCCCTCCTCCCGCCCCGTCCCGCCCGCCCCCCTCCTCCCTCCTCTCTCCAGTGTGAAGAGGCCTCCCTCCTGTCTCCCTCCTCCCTCCAGTCTCCCTCCTCCCTCCTCCCTTCGGTGCCCTCCTCCCTCCTGTATCCTCCCGTCCCTAGGAGGAGGAGGAGGAGGAGGAGGAGGAGGAGGAGGAGGAGGAGGAGGAGGAGGAGGAGGAGGAGGAGGAGGAGGAGGAGGAGGAGGAGGGAGGAGGAGGAGGAGGAGGAGGAGGAGGAGGAGGAGGAGGAGGAGGAGGAGGAGGAGGAGGAGGAGGAGGAGGAGGAGGAGGAGGAGGAGGAGGAGGAGGAGGAGGAGGAGGACGGAGGAGGACGGAGGAGGAGGAGAGGAGGAGGAGGAGGAGGAGGAGGAGGAGGAGGAGGAGGAGGAGGAGGAGACGGAGGAGAGGAGGAGACGGAGGAGACGGAGGAGGAGGAGGAGGAGGAGGAGGAGGAGGAGGAGGAGGAGGAGGAGGAGGAGGAGGAGGAGGAGGAGGAGGAGGAGGAGGAGGAGGAGGAGGAGGAGGAGGAGGAGGAGGAGGAGGAGGAGGAGGAGGAGGAGGAGGAGGACGAGGAGGAGGAGGAGGAGGAGGAGGAGGAGGAGGAGGAGGAGGAGGAGGAGGAGGAGATCCCAGTACCCAGATATGCTCGCGTCGTGTCCAAAAATCACGACTGGAAGTTTTTGCCAATTTTTTTTTACCTCCATGGGCCTTTGCGTTGCGTCGGGGCCATCAAGAAACGCTTCGGGGTGCGAAGCGGGCCCCAGGGGAATGGTCGGGACTCCTGGGGACCCCGTATCGAACAAATCGGGACACTGCATGTCTGGGTGCAGCATTTGCCCCTCCGTTCGATGCTCTTCATGCTGTGAGTGTCCTCCCTCCTTTTCCCGCCCTCCGCGGCCGCTCCCCGCCTCCTCTCTTGCTGCCGGACAGTTTCTGCGCGCCCGAGCCCGGCTCACCAGGGCGCGCGTGCGGATCGCCGCCGCCGCGCTGCGGCGGAAAAGTGTCAGTGTGCCGCTGCTCGTCCTGGAGAGCCCTCGTCGCCAGCTGGAGTCTCCTCGAAGTTCTGGTCAGAACGCATCCCAGGGTCGGTCCAGGGAGCAGCGAGTGGCGGTGCCAGGTTGTCTCCCCAGAGAGAGGGGGGGGTGGGAAGGGGGAGGGAGGGTGGTGGTGGGAGGGAGGTAGGGGAGAGTGGATAGCGATCTGGAGGAGCATTCGTAACGAGTCTGAAAGGTACGTCAGCGCAAATAGCTGTGGTGCTACATGCTTCATTGATGTCGCAGGGTTCAGTGCGTGCTGTGTGGTGGCATGATCACGAGGGTCCTCCAGTGAGCATGTATATCTATATATATATATACACATACACATCTATACAGATACATGTATATGGGTGCTTTTTGGAGCTTGATCGACGCATGTGGCTTGCAGGTTGTACTCTTGGTGTTGGGGTCTATTCGTGATTGGTGCCTGGGCCAGCGCACAATTTCCTCTACCTCGGAAGCTAGTAGGAAGCCGCACTGACCAACCTCTGTCGACATTCTACCAGAAGCCGCATTCTACCGGAAGCCAGCAGGAGGCGCACGCATGCGTGGTCGACACCAAATCTTGTAGTATGTGCACACGCGCCTTCACATCTGGGATTTCCTCGCATTTCTGCTCAAATCAAGCGCAGGCCTCCGCCGCGGCAAAGCCATGGTGTGCCATGCGGTTATCTGACCATGGTGCTCATGCGCCTACGCGCGCATTTGCTCTGCCGCCATTGGAGCTGCCGCCCGCTGCCCAGGTACGCCCGATGGGTGTGTAGCATGCAGGAGCAGCGATGTACCAGTTCTTTCCGTCGTCCCCTCTCTTTCCCAACTTCATGTCTCATTGCTCATTTTTGTTTCCTCACTTGGGACTTATCCCAGTCGTCTCTACTTCTCTTACTTGTCCTTTGAACATGATCCTCTGCATGATTCCATGGGGTCGCAATGTGTGCGTTCTGACGTCGCTTGCTTAGTTCTCTTTTGTCCTTCTCCTCTCTGTCTTCCTCTTCCCTCCCAGCTTGTCGAGGTGTGCCTGTGGGGCGGAACAGCTGGCGTCCCTCCCGCGGTCGTACCCCCTTGGCGGTGGCCCCTCCGAGCACCCGAGATCGTCGAGATCCCCACCGCGGTCGCCCCGCCCTCGGGACTCCCACCCTCCTGCGCGCGACGAGTGCTGCGCTGCCGGCTGCCCTGGCTGGCCGCACGGCCGCGCTGTGAAGGGCCAGCTGCGAAAAGCACCGCCTTCGCTGCCGAGGGCGCAGCGTGGGAGTCACCGGCGGCGCCCGAGGTGGGCACCGCTGCTGTGCCGCCGGTCCCGCTGCGTTCGACCATGGGGCCAGGCCTCTGCGCACTGCTCCGCCGCTTGGCAGGCGCTGGGATCTCGCCCGCGGCTGCCACGTCGTCGCGGCGTCTGTCGCCCACGCTCCGCTGGTCTCTGCACGCCGCTCCCTCCTCGGCCTCCTCGCCCGCTCTGTCCTCCGCTGGTCGTTGCTGGAGCTGCCGCCGCCTCTCCTCGCCCCTCCCCCCTCCCCCTGGTGGCGCCTCCGCTCAGCACGCCGGGGACTCTCGCGGGCGAGGGGGGGAGGAGGAGGAGGAGGAGGAGGAGACGGAGGAGCGACGGGGGGGGGGGAACGACGAGGATATACAAGCTCTGGGTTTCCTCGCCGCCTCTCCTCGTCTTCCCCGTCGTCCCCGGCGCTGGCTTCCCATTCGGGCGGCCGCCTGGCGCTCCGTTCGTGAAGCCGCAGGGGCTCCTCGGGCCTCTGTGTCTTCCCTCTCCTGTGCCGGGTGTTGCCAGAGTGCCCCCTGGCCCAAGCCCCATGGCAGGGCTCGTTTCGATTCCTCCGATTCGATTCGGTACGATCTCGGTGGCTTCCGATTCCCATTCGATTCGACTTGGGATTCCGATTCGGGTTCCGATCTTATTGGAGGCATACCTGCCCGCCGATTTCAGTCGATTCGAC